TATCGAAGTTTTTAAAATCTCATTCGCGAGTAAGTCCTTTTCAAAATTGCGGCCATTTTATGAGGTCGGCTTTGCGCAATTCTTGTTCTTGGGTGTTTATTGTCTGCAAGAGGTCTGTGATCTTGGGGAGGTCCACGTGTGGTTCTTGTGGATAATCCCTCAACGGCTGCATTACTTGCACTTGCACATCAGCGTTTTTCAAGTGTTGGTCGTTGTGGATTGCTGGCGGAACATCAGGGTTTTCATGGTGTCGTTCCCCCCCAGCTACCATGTGAGCACATACGGGATGGGCCCTTGTTATTGGTGCTGGTGGTGGTGGCGGCGGAGGTGCGCACGTGGTAGGGACGGTGCATGTCTCCTGTACACGTGGTAACGCTACGTGCATTGGTGGGGCTGGCACGTGAACGTCCGTTGGCGGTTCTGTTGGCGGGGTATTCGTTTCGTGGCAAACTTCTGGTGCTCGGGTTGTCGTGGGACTAACGCATTGCTGCCCGTTGAAAAGGTGTTATAAATAAAAAATAGGAAGGGTCAAGTAGGATGCAGTGAGAAAGAGAGTTCTGTTTCGAAAATTTTGAAATGACCGAGCGGAGTTTAAATTGTAATGCACTATCCTTTTCTACTTTTCATCACGTCACCTTTTGAAGACGTGCTATCGACGTTCTTGGAAGGAGCTGTTTGAGGAAACTGTATCCCGTTGCAAAAACGCGACTCATTTATTAAAGATTAAAAACGGAACAAAATAGGAGAACCCCGTCACATGTGTGAGTACCCAGTGGGTAGAACAACAACGGAATGTTGTTCATGAACTGCAACTTTCGTAAATTTATTTTAACGACTGTGAAAGTCGGAAAGGTCAAATTTCAGACCCTGGGTGAAAACTGAGTCATAAGACCCGAAATCACTTAATATTGTCGTACTTAGTTTTTGTTACCGTTGAAAAAGTTTTGCTCAAAATGCGTTGCGTGCAACAATTTTTTTTCTCGTATGGCCCGCGTCCAAGTTTTGCCTACTTACCTGATTTCCTGCCAACGGTTTCGTGATCTCTATCCTGGCTTGTTTGATGTGTAAACCTGAAATCCAACGGAAAAAAGAAAAATGTTTACAATATTTCATGAAAATTTGGCATTGCCCTGGAGAAAATGATGACTTTACCTGCTCCGCCTGCATGTTGTGGGTGTGGATGTCCATGTCCGGGCATTGGATGGGGGGGTCCTCGGTCCATTCCGGGGTGTCCTGGCGCTGGGTGTGGGTGTGCTGGCGCTGGGTGTGGGTGTGCTGGCATTGGGTGAGGGTGTGCTGGCATTGGGTGAGGGTGTGCTGGCATTGGGTGAGGGTGTGCTGGCATTGGGTGGTGTGGTTGGTGAACAGCTGCTCAAATAAGTCGTATCAATTATGAAATATGATGTAGAAGTAATGTGCTCCTAACTGATCAACACAGCTATAAATCAAAATATTGGTCGAATAATCTGTGGTTAACGTGAAACGTTGATCAAAATTGCCTTTTTTCGATGGCGTCTGCCAAAGAAAATCTTGATCAATGAGAATTCGGGTAATGATCCTGCAAGATAGCTGGGAATGGTGACGCGAAAAGTTTGCCCGACATTTCTAGCTATTGCATTATCTATTTTTTACAGCGTTTAATTTTGTCTAAAAAGTTCGTAAATTACTTCGTTTCCCACCGAAATACTGTAATTTAATTTGAAGATGAGCGTCGAAAGAATTCTGAGGCATGTTCAAAAAATCCAAGGTTGCTGAAGTATTTTCAAATGCTGCAAAACTCGGTATAAATCAACCTAGAAGAAAAATTAAATCATTTTCTAACATCCTGCGCTTTGGAATGTATTTTGAGTTCGAATCTGAAAAACGATTTATACAGCCTGTTCAAGAAATGGTCATCCCTGAATTTTAAAAAATGTAGCTTGTTTTACATTAAGTAACCAAATGAGCTGATTCTGGTGTACATTGATGTACAGTACTGTAAACAATATTGGAATTGCAGAAATATTGTCGTTTCGCTGTAGACAAAATTGCCTTCGAAAGTCCATCTTTTTAGGTCACGCACTCGAAATAAGTCTTCTGCGGATTATGTTTCGAGCAAAAAAAAAAAACTAAATTTGACTGAATGCGTTCGATATGTGGTACCAATACTGTAGAATAATCTTTGAGGACTTAACTCGGTATCATGTAAAATCTGCGAGAAAAACATGAATTTTACTCCAGTCTTTCTCATCTTCTGTTCAGGATATCCGACACTCATGTCTATATTTTTTCTGTCTGTCGAAAGAAAGATTGTTGATCTCTAATTCTCAAACGATGGGAACGCTATTCTTCGGAAACTCGGCAGGTTTCCTCGTATGCAGTTTTTTACTTGTATAAATACTGTACTGGTAAAAATTTGTATGTGCGGCCTATACTTGCAAGGGGATTTTAGTCTCGTTGAGATATGGCAATATCCAGACTTTTAGTTTCCTGGAAATATGGTACTGTTTTACCTGAGCCAGCCCCTCCGGCATGCACTTCAATGATCGCTTGTTTCACATGTGGGTGTGCAGGCTCAGGTTGATTCCGTGCAGGATGATGCGGTGTCTGGCAGCCAGGTTGAGCCTGATGAGGAAAATGATCTGGGGACTTGAGCAACGTTGGTGGCTTTGGATTGACTTCATCGGCAAACACTTCGTCTTTCGAAGGTGTAAGGCCCGCGTTGCCAAATTGTTCTTGGTCAGAGAACCCGGTGTTCGGGTCTTTGTCCAAGTTCTTCGGGATGGCGACGAATCGGTTATGCTTGAATTTCTGCGAAGCGCTCGGTTCGAATTGCTGTGCAAGTATTTCGCCTTTCTGCGCTTTGTCTGCGAGTTTTCTGGATTCCGGCCACTGTTCAGCGGGTCCTCCTTGAGCTGGATTGGCCACGACCCCAATGATCATGTTCTGATCTGCTGATTGAAAAGGAATAATGTTTGCAGCACGACCTCGTGGGAAAAAAAATGACGCAAACTTTCGAACATAACACTCACCTATTTCTGATTGACCAGTCGGAAAACTGGAAACGCACAAGCTCAAGAGCCAGAACTGAAAAATTTGCAAGAACAACATGTTCGTTTGCTGACTTCGGTGTATTTCGTTTTAGAAAGAAGGTATTGACCGCGTTTGCGTTCAACACACGATTGATACTCAGTCCCGGAGAGAAGCTGACTTATAGCGAATCGGCGTCGTCCCGCAATCTCGCTCTTTTTATATTGAATTAACCAATAGAGTCAGTGATCAAAGACGGCTGGGTTCGAATTATACGTCCTCCGTTATTTTTAGATTTATAACTTGATTTTGGCTGGAGAAAATGCATTGAGAGCGACGGGGACTGTTCGGAGCGCAAGTTTCTGAAAGGGGGAATGATTCGTTCCGTGGGAACGTTTTAATTCATCAACCCTTTTTTAAATGAGCGACTGTGTGATGAAGGGGGCAAATTGATTCCGTGGGATAATTTCTATGCATTAATCGCCGAGGGTTGGTTTTTGGTTAGGTGTGTTCGCGATTTCTTTTTCTCTTTTTTTTTTCTTCTTTCTGTTCTTGGAGATTTTAATCTGGTGCACTAGAATTCTCTTTCATTGTTTTCTGGAGATTCGAAGGATTTACTCTTTGTTTCTCGGCTGCTGTTTTACGCGGAGGATTTGAGTTTGTCGGGAACAACAACGCGTTCATTGAAAAATAAATTAATATGAAGATCTAATAGTTGATAGAAATCCTTAGGGAGAACTTTGAAGTGTTTTCGTGGAACTAATCGTCGTGTTCTTTGGACGTGTATTCTTTTCGCGTTGAACTGTGCTTCGTTTCTTCGTGTTTGTGAACTTACAAAAGCTTTTTTTTTTTATTTGTGGACTATTTTTGTAAGTGTGTTATATGATAGGGATCTATAATTTCGATGATTCCGTGGAGTGCGAGGGATTGGTGTGAATTTGTGATTAATTTTTCCGTGATTTCAGGGTCTTTGGAAGTTCCGAACTCATCCCTGGACACTCCACCGGTCGCTTCGATGCACGACTACCTGAGTTTCAGTCGTCCGGAAGACGATTCCGGCTACACATCAAATGCCCGATTGTCAACAGCGTCCGCGTCCTCCCAAGCCAGCACGCCGAGTATTCTTCGTCGTGGCGCCGCTGCCTGGCGCCGTCCCGGCGCCCGCCAGCGTACCGACAGCACCGCGACAGACCAAAGTGGATGTGAAGACGACCTCGGGGCGTCCGGCCCGTCGGGTTCGTCGTTGTTGTCGGGAGCCAAGCCTACGGGTTTGAACGTGACCCCCAAGTCTCGGGTGGATGATGAGAACTGCGCGCCGCCTTTGCGGCTGATTGACCCCGAGGGATTGCGGTCACCCGGCGGTACTCCGAGGACCCCGACGCCGTTTAAGAAGGCCTTGGCGGAACTGGAGAAGAAGGGCGGTCGTGTCACGTTCACGGTATGTATATATTGAAATTACTATGACCGATTGTGCATAGAATTCTGTTGGAGTCGCAAGTTTCTTGTATACTCGAAGATAATCAGGGTCCCTGGGAGTGATGTGTTGTGCCGAGAATATCGTTGCTAAAGAGCTCAGTTTCTTTATAGATGTGCTGAGATTATTTTATTTTACAAAGTTTTTTAGAGTAGTATTGAAAAATAAGTTTACATCAAATTATTATGTGTGGGTTGAAAAAATGCTCAGGTTTGGTCAGGGTATTTCATTTTATGCTAGATACATTTTGGTCAGTTTGGTGATCCGGGGGACACCTACCTACCTTGAAATCTGAGGGATAGGAAATTTATCCCTTATTTTAAGTGATGACCCAAAATTAAAAGAAAAAATTAGCTGGGGCGAGAGGAGAGAACCACAGCAATACAAATTTATGTACAGTAAGTAATTTGTGGTCAATGCAAGAATGTATTAATTTTAGGCGAACGTTAAATGCCCCTGTGTTCCAACATGATCTCGTATTGGGCTGCATGACAAAAGAAGATACATTGTCTTGAACCCATTTCCGAATAAGTAATGCAGGTATACTCTATTCCCAACGATTTTGTCTACAATAAAATTCTCTCTACAACTATTTATTTTCGGTTCCCTTGAATCGAGAGAGTCCGCCTGTATTTTGCTGTTTTCGAATTCCTTCGGAAAAATTAACGGATTTGTATGTTAACCACATCTGATAATGCAAACTTATATGTCATTTCGAAGAATCCAAACCTCAACCTGGCTCTTGATTGACTATAATTAAATTTCCGAAATTTCAGGGTGGAAGTCCGTCGAACCTAGTGGACGATATCCACGAGATAATCCGGAAGGAGTCGGAGCGAGAACGAACAGGATGCTCTGTGTCGTCGAGTCGGGGCGGGTCTTACTCTCCGTACACGCGACGAGCTCTAGGAATGAGCAACAGTCCCAACACGTCACCCAACAACACCCACCACCAGCACCCGTCACTTTCTGGACGCCGTGGTTGTTATGGCAAGGAGAACAGCGGTTGTTCGCCGCCTATTAAACGTGCCCGCAAGTCGCTCACTGAGTCGTTGTCTTCGCCGGAGCCCAAGCACCTTGTTGATCTTCAGTTTCCGCCCATCTTGACGCCGGAAACTCCGGTTAGCATTTGTTGTTTTTTGCTAATTTTTGAAGTACTGTACTGTATCACGTGTATCAATCGGGAAGCGTGAACATAATAGCGAAGAAGTGCGACTTGAAACGAAAAACTCAAGTTTATCTTGAACGTTTGAAATTTCGAGAAAGCTAAATTTTCGGTTGCATGATACGTTCAGTCGATGAATTGAAAATACGTCAGCTGCGAATATCTGAAGTATCAAATGATACATTCGTGAAGTTCCTAAGTACGGGCTTTTAACTGCCTTAGAAAACCGTCCTATCAGATGATTATGGTATTCGGGAGTTTTGAGAATTCATAGTTGTGACGTTATGAATTGTTCTAAACTTGACTTTTTAAAGATGTCAAGAATAATCCTTGAGCCAATGTTCTGAAGAATTTGTTGATACATTTTTACTCGTTGGATTTACATGTTTCAAAATTTCAACGCGTTTGTTATGTATGTTTCCAGAGTCGGAGCTTTGATTTGGGACGTGATGGAGAATTCACTCCGACTGCACTCCTTCTGAAAGACAACGTAGGATTTTTGCTGGATTCTTCTGGTCCGTCACCGATGACTGGATTACCTTCTTCTGCGAGAAGATTCGATCAGATGCTTCAAAGACAAGCTGTTTCCTATGGCCATCAGAGAAC